CTGGGGGTCTTGGAATGAACACATCCTCCACGGATAAAGAGGGACGACTGTATATGACTCTATGGGGAGTGAGAGTGTTTGTATTTGTGTGTGTGTGTGTGTGTGTGTGTGTGTGTGATGTGCGTGTGTGCACGCGTGCATTTATAAAAAGTCCTAGTTCAATAACCCAAATGTCCAGCAATATAACTTACTCATGGTCTGTTCATAAAAGGAAATACTATTATAGCAACAAAAAAGCATGAACCACAGCTAGTTGCCACAACATGGATAAATGTCATAAAAAGAATGTTAAACAAAAGAAGCTGGACACAAAAGAATGCACTTTGTATTTCATTTATATAAAATTCAAAGCCAGGCAAAACCAAACTACAGTAATTTTTTTAGGGATGCACATTTCGTTGGTAAAATTATAAGAAAAATCAAGGAAGTGATTTGAATAGAAGTCAGAATTGGGGTTTCCTCTAGGGGTGGCAGGGAACAGTGACTGGGAAGGGACACGGGGGCTTTGGATGCTGGAAATGTTCTGTTTGACTTGGGTGGTGGTTACATGGATGTTACTTGTATAGTAATTTGTCAAACTCTGTGTTGTATGAGGGGTTTTTTGGGGGGTAATCTCATGATAAGGAAAACTTTAAAAAATTCCTGGATTGTTATAACTGTAAAAGAGACCTTAATTCTGATCTACCCCTCACTATATAGATGAGGGAGCAGGGATACAGGGGACACAACTTATAGCTTGTGGGAGATAGGCGCCATACATGAGTCCTGGCTTCTAACCAGGTGCTTAGACCATTACACACAGCACTGCTCTAACTCGTGCAGGGAAAACAGCACCTCTGGTAGAGGGACCACTTGGCTAAATTCCCAAATAAATGGACAATCCTGAGCCTGGAACGTTAATCCTTTGCCCAACTAAGAGAATGTTGAGTGAGATTTTCCTATTATTTAGGATTTTCAGCTCAAAGCTAAGAGTGGCATGTGGTACGCTAACCCCCATTATAATGAGAAGTTCTAGATACCTCTATGTTGGATTACTAAAACAGCAAAATGGGTCTGGCAACTAGCAACCCCCACCACCCACCTCCAGGCTGTACTGAAAGGATAGAAATGATCCAGGGATAATGGGAGAGGGTCATGAAGTAGGAGAGTTTTTGTTGTGGAGGGTGCTGTGGCATCCTTCACCCACGCCCGGGGCCGAGTGATGAAATGTAGTCAAGAGAACCTCAGGCTGCAGCAAGAGGGAAGATAACAGCTCACTTCCCAATGGCTGCTCCCTGAGCTGCAGGCATTCTCAAGCCCACCCAGGAGCACTGGAGTGGAGCATGGTGAGCATTCTGCGAGAGCCAGGGGTGGCTCCTGGAGTCTGAAGCTATGCTAGACAGTTCTCTGGGCGGGGAGCTGACCGGGGCAGCCCACACAGGCAGGGGCGGGAAGGAGGCCGCAGTGGGAGCATCTGTACTTCTGGGACTTGCTGTATCACGGATGTGTGAGAGTGACCTGGGTCAAGGGGACATAGCAAAAGGCAGCCAGATCTGGGGAGATTCTGCTCAAAAGGGCTGCCTGCTGGATGGAGAGCGCCCTAGCAGTAAGAGGCTGATGGGCAGAGGGCTGGGGACAGACTGCGAGGAAGGCACACAGGAGGTACGATGGGAGGACACCGCCCACTAAGGGAATGGTGCAGGGAAGTGGTCCTTGTTGAGGGGGTGTCTCCAAAGACCCATAAGTGGGACCCATGAAAGGGCATGTCTGTCCTCACAGTGGGCTTTGCCGTGCCACCAGCAAAAGCTAAGAAAGGATGATAGTGGCACCAGTGATGTAAGGCCAAGAGCAAAGAATCTGATTACCCTTCCAGCACTGCCGGTCCACACAGGTCCCTCAGCCATGGGCCAGGCCAGAGCTGCAGGGGGAGGTTGAGCTTTGACTAGAAGTGAATTCGAAGATTTGATTTAGATTGGATTGAACATTTGAGAAAGGGTCTCGATTTTAAAACTGCCAGTACTTTTATAAAAAACACTACTCGGAAAAGTCTAGCTTCTACCCAAGATGTTGTTAAGAGATCCAAAGTGGGGGTTCTTTAAGACAATAAATGAAGACAAAGCCACTTCCTGTGCTGGGCCATTTAATAAACTGGTTCCACCTAGATTCGCTCTGGCTGGCAGTGTCAGCTCCCCCGAACCCTCCCACCCCAGCATCATCTCACTTTTCTCCACAACCTGTGAGGGAGGCATGCCCCCAATCAACAGATGTGGAAACCACAGGTCAAGGGGTTACATAGTTGTCGAGGCCCACAGCCCAGAAATGTAGGGGCTGAGACTGAAAGCCAGGTCTGCTGATGTCTAACATTCACGTTCTTTCCACCGCTCCAGACTGTCTTCTGACAGCACCACAGGGCCTCCATTCCTCTTAGAAAACCAAATTGCAGCCTTCCAGGGCTGGCAGCCAGGACAGCACTTTTATGTGGGGAGGGTAGCTGAGCCTCAGTCACAGCTTCTGTCCCCAAGCGTCCTCTGTCCTCTTGTGGCTATCTTCTCCTTGATCGCTGTTGGGGAGAAGGG